CACTCACTCACACTCACACAACCACACACACACACACACACACACTGAACAAACACACACACACACACACACACACATACTGAACAAACACACACAAGAGAGAGAGAGAGAGAGTTTAAAGTTTCAGTCACCACTGAACAATCTGTCACTCATGCATGCGCTCAGCTCATTAACAGACCAGCAAACGAGACCATGATCAGATATGAGCTCTGTGTGTGTCTCACTGTTGTCTCTCCATGAGCTCCATTCATGATCTCATATCTGTTCATCAGTTTAGCAAGGCAGCTAACCAGACTTCTGATTAAAGATTACAGCAAGAATGTATAAAAACAGTAAATGCATGGAAGAATGGTTCACAATAAGACTGTTTGCATGCATTAAGAAATGGTGACACTTTACAATAAGGTCCAATTAATTAACATTCTTCAATGCATTAACTAACAACATGCAATAGATCTGTTACAGAATGTCTCTAGTTTCCTAACTATGGCTTCCCGCCCATACTTCAGTATTTAACATGCAATGACTGCTATTATTTAGTATTATATTTGACTAATGTCCATTATGTAGATATTTACAGTTATTGAACGCTGGTGATTTGAGCAGGCCTCACATAAGCCTCTGAAGATCGTCAGGTCATCTAACACAGCACTACACAGCTGTCTGATATCAATAATGCATTTGATTACACTTCTGCTGCCATCTAGCGGACCGCTTAGAGAACTTCTGTGACTCCAGCAGCATCAGACGGCACAGAAAAATGTTTTCAAATAACTTTTGTCTGCAAAACCACTCATTTATAAACGATAGGTTTACTGGACTATACTGTACAAGAAAGTGCATTGAAGTTTAGAAGAAAAATACATTTCAAGTGCATTAATGCACACAGTATATGTGACCCTGGAGCACAAAACCAGTCACAAGGGTCAATTTTGTGAAATTGAGGTTTATGCATCATCTGAAAGCTGAATAATAATCTTTCTATTGATGTATGGTTTGTTAGGATAGAACAATATTTGGCTGAGATACAAATATTTGAAAATCTGGAATCTGAGGGTGCAAAAAAATCTAAATATTGAGAAAATCATCTTTAAAGTTGTTCAAATGAAGTTCTTAGCAATGCATATTACTAATCAAACATTAAGTTTTGATATATTTACGGTAGGAAATGTACTAAATATCTTCATGGAACATGATCTTTACTTAATATCCTAATGATTTTTGGCATAAAAGAGAAATGTATAATTGTGACTCATACAATGTATTGTTGGCTATTGCTACAAATATCCCCCAGCGACTCAACACTGCTTTTGTGCTGCAGGGACACATATATTATAGACTAAATACATTTAAAATACATTAACAAATGTAATTTTGGACAACACACTTAAGTTGAAATTAAAATCAATTATTTTACATCAGTTTATTGGTAAATATATCAAAATAAGTGTACTTATTAAAAACACTATAAAATCATAATTATGTCAAATGAAAGTTTAAGTAATACTTAATTAGACATTATTATACAGTGCATTTTTAAAAAGTGCACTTAAGTATGTTAAGAAATATTGTCATTAAAGTGTACTCTCTTTAAGTTCACTTACGTGGCCTTTAATTTAACTGATATTATATTATCTGCAAGTGCACTTTCTGAATATGCACTTTTAATACAATGAAGCAGATTGTTTTGGAGATATCTGCAGGACTATACATGAACAGGTAACACGGTCTGGTGGATATTTATATGGATATATCTATCTGTCGCTGGAGCTCAGGAGGAGAGGAAAGAAGGATATACACACACTTAGAAAACCTTATCAAGCGACACGTCTAAAGGCAAAACAGAGGAACATAAGAAAATATTGAACAGCTTTTGGCTCATTTAATTATCGTATCCTAGCGATACCCGAGTAATATTCCTCCTGTGTCCTCGTGAATGTCCTGTTTTTAATCTGGCAACACATCTGTATCTGTGCATACTCTCTCTCTCTTTCTTTGTTTTGTGTTTAGAACTGGACTGTCCTAATGGTTTGATGTTTTGTTCTGTTTAATAAAAGAAAAGAAATCAGAAAAAAGATTTGCGATACACGCACCGAAGTGCCGATCTAAAACATCTCATTATTATTTATGCATTTCTTTTGTAATTTGGATCACAATCATCCTATTTTGATATTTGGAGCTGATGTCAAGTCAGCTTTATTTCTATAGCGCTGTATACAATACTGATTATTGATCGTGCATTAACCGATCAGTTAATACTCAAAGCAGAGTATTCACAGAATAATGCAAGATAATCTGGATAATCATAACCCTATCTGGATCTCTTCTTTAGTTTGTGTGTGTATATATAAAGTGATTTCACCCTGTTCTTGCCATGAACATAGACCTTTCTTTATCTTTCTCACCTTTTATTTCATTTGTCATCTTATTATTTTATTTTCCGATATGTAAATTAATCTGATTTCTGGTGTGTCTGTTCTTAATCACCCTTTAAATGTTTATTAATTTGTTTATATACCTATTTTTGTTCAGATCTGACCCTGTTCTTCTCATGAAAATATGCATCATTTCAGAGCATCACTAGCATTAACACACATGAATAACAACCGTGAATATTTTTTACAGTTATTGCCTCAATAATGTGCTTTATGAGAGAACTTTTAAACGAACTGGTTTTTAAACGAACAATCAAAAATGTAATTTGAGCTGCATGTCACGCTGATTGATGGGAAAAACTATTTTAGGGGAAATTAAATAAGTACTTTTGGCTGTCTTGTCCATCATATTTATTTTCATTTAAATTACATTTCATTTATTAGCAAAATGCAAATGAGCACCAATCACGTGATATCCAGTTTCACCAGTTGCATGTTGTAAATATTGAAAAATATTAGTTTTTAATTTTAATTTACTTTCCTAAATGAGAGTGCAGCTCTATTTAAATATTCTGCACTATTTCTACAGTTACTCTAGTAAATAAACCACACGTATTTCTAGAATAACTGCAGTTCTTCACAGACACTCGGATATAAACTCATTCAAAAGACAAAATTAGTTGTAGAATAATTTATCATTTTTAATATTTTTAGAGGAACAAAGGATCTTAACAACACAACTGAGCCGGTTTCAAAACAAGTGTAATTAAGCAAAATATTTCTATAATTAATTTGAACAGATATTCATGACAAAAGACAATTTACAGAATAAAGCTTCATGTGCATCTCTTTACATAATCATACAAAACCCATAATTCCAGTCAGCAGAAAATCACATCAATTCATTTCATTTCAGCTGTGAAATAAAAAAAAGCAAAACAGCTCATAACATGATGATGAACTGTGATTTTTAACACAACTTCAAAACCGTAAAAGGTGAAATAAGTTCATTGATTCAGTCAGTAAAAGACTTGCAGAAGGACACTGATGTGTGTGTGTGTGTGTGTGTGAGTGTGTGTGTGTGTGTGAGAGAGAGTGAGTGTGTGTGTGTATGTGTGTGTGTGTGTGTGTGTGTGAGAGTGTGTGTGTGTGTGTGTGATAGTGTGTGTGTGTGTGTGTGTGTGAGAGTGTGTGTGTGTGTGTGTGGTGATCACTCAGTACTAAAGCGCTGCTATCTTGCTGGCCTCACGCACTCCACTCAGATACGCTCCCGTCACCGTCTGAGGAAAGTGTCTGTTTGTGGCCTGCAGGAACACAACAACAAATGAACAACACCGAAAATATTTATCTGATAACAACTAGGGATGAACAATACAGTCAGCCCACGGTTCGATACATACCTCGGTCTTTCGGTTCAGTTCGGTGGCTCGGCACATTAGAGTGTTTGTTATTCAATGCTCAGGCGACAGGAAGTTCATTTTTATTGCAATACTCTTTCTTACCCCACTGCCTTTGTTATTTTCTTGTGTCGGTCTTAGGCCGGTCATGATGACTACTTTTTGTTTGGCAATATATTGCCCTGGAAATAATTGCGATAAATGGTTTTATTGTCATTTTAAGACTGTTTTATGCCACTGACTATATAATGATAATATTTCAGTAGTAAGTATCCACACTAATCAGTGCAGTTACAGTGTTACGCCAGTAGGTGGCAAGGGACTGACACAACAATATAAGACAATATACTATAAATTCAACAAGAAATAAATCACAAAACAATACAATAAAAAAATAATCAAATAAAAGCATTCCCGAAAAATAATGTTTTGAGAAAAGTTTTAAAAACAGCTAAAGAGTTAGCGTCCCTAATGTCAACTGGGAGAGAATTCCACAGTTTTGGAGCATACGTTGAAAAGCCCCCCCCCCTGGATCGCAACCGTGTTTTGGGAACAACTAAGAGACCGTGCAGAGAAGATCGTAAGTTGCGAATTGGCGTATAAGGTGTTAAAAGATCTGCCAGATACTGTGGAGCGAGACCATGCAGAGCCTTGTATGTAAGCAGTATGCGGTATTTAACAGGGAGCCAGTGTAACGTCTTCAAAACAGGAGTTATATGGTCGCCAGCCCTAGCCCCAGTTCAAATTCTAGCTGCTGAATTCTGCAAGTATTGCAATTTGTTAAGAGAGCATTTGGACACTCCAACAAGGAGAGCATTGCAATGATCAATTCGTGAGAAAACTAAAGAATTAATACAGACTGCTTCAAAGCTTGTGAAATGTATTAATTATAAAACAACTTTAAATTCAGCTTCTCAACAGAAGACAGCAGTCATTATTCAGATCAGATTCAGTTCAGTTCAATAACCGTGTCAATGCTGCAAAGTTCATCAACGGTCTCGTTTTGTCACGAATGATTGTGTCATCTGCCACAACGATATAAATCAGTGAGGCTTTGCTCAAATATGAATATATTCAAATAAATGTTCATGAATGGATCTGCAGTCGACCTCGTATCATACAGAGAGATGACGCGCGTCAGAATATATGGTCGCCAGCCCTAGCCCCAGTTCAAATTCTAGCTGCTGAATTCTGCAAGTATTGCAATTTGTTAAGAGAGCATTTGGACACTCCAACAAGGAGAGCACTGCAATGATCAATTCGTGAGAAAACTAAAGAATTAATCAATTTTTTAGCAACAGAAAAGAAAAGGTCGAATACGTGCAATATTTCTAAGATGAAAAAAGGAGGTCTTTACCGTGTTCTGTACAAAAGGCTGGAATGACAGGGTGGCGTCAAAGATAACAACAAGCTTTTTTAGTTTACTGTGTAGCTCTAGGGCAACACCATCAACTGATAGATCTATACAAGCAGCATTTCGCAGGTTTTAAAAACAGCTAAAGAATTAGCTTCCCTAAAGTCAATTGGGAGAGAATTACACAGTTTTGGAGCATACGTTTAAAAGGCCCTGTCCCCCCTGGATCGCAACCGTGTTTTGGGAACAACTAAGAGACCGTGCTGAGAAGATCGTAAATTGCGAATTGGCGTATAAGGTGTTAAAAGATCTGCCAGATACTGTGGAGCGAGACCATGCATAGCCTTGTATGTAAGCAGTTTGCGGTATTTAACAGGGAGCCAGTGTAACGTCTTCAAAACAGGAGTTATATGGTCGCCAGCCCTAGCCCCAGTTCAAATTCTAGCTGCTGAATTCTGCAAGTATTGCAATTTGTTAAGAGAGCATTTGGACACTCCAACAAGGAGAGCATTGCAATGATCAATTCGTGAGAAAACTAAAGAATTAATACAGACTGCTTCAAAGCTTGTGAAATGTATTAATTATAAAACAACTTTAAATTCAGCTTCTCAACAGAAGACAGCAGTCATTATTCAGATCAGATTCAGTTCAGTCAATGCTGCAAAGTTCATCAACGGTCTCGTTTTGTCACGAATGATTGTGTCATCTGCCACAACGATATAAATCAGTGAGGCTTTGCTCAAATATGAATATATTCAAATAAATGTTCATGAATGGATCTGCAGTCGACCTCGTATCATACAGAGAGATGACGCGCGTCAGAATCAAACTCAGAAAGCCTCACCTCGCCGGCGAAGAACAGCTTGCCCTGCACGTCTTCGGCGATGATGTCATAGGCCTCGCCGCTGCCACCCGTCTTCACGAAGCTGTAGGACATCTGAGCCCACGGGTCTCTGCTCCAGCGGGTCACCAGGAACCGCAGCGGATCCGGAACCTCCTGCAGCAGAACCACAGAGTCTGTGACGGTCCTCACGGCAGCAAGACCACAAACTCAGCTACTGTCAGGATCCTAATAAATGAGTCACCTGCTCCTGGAAGAGCTCTCGGAGGACACTCATGCACAGATCCACCACCTGAGAGTCCTGAAGATCTCTGAGCAGAGACAGAGCCTCACCGGTGACCACCGTCATCAGCACACACTCGTCACCCTGCACACACACACACACACCTTGATAACCCTCCGGTCTGCCGCAGACATCAGTGCTACATGCGAGCACTTACCACCCACAGAATACACAAATCACATACATTTTATCATCGTTTACTCACCCTCATGTTGTTCCAAACCTGCATGAGTTTCCTTCTTCTTTTGAAAAATTTAAGTAACTAAACAGTTGCTGGTCCCCATTGACTTCCATACTATTGAAAGTCCGTACCTTCCTGATGGGGAAGGTTTTTCCCCATCATTCTTCAAAATCTCTCTTTTTGTGTTCAGCAGAAGAAAGAAACCCATAAAGATTTGGAACAAATATGAGGGTGAGCAAATGATGACAAAATGTATATTTTAGGGTGAACTGTCCCTTTAAGAGCCAGGGGTGAAAACATTTAGAATTCTTCAAGGTGTATGTAAATTTATGACCGCAACTGCAGAAGCGTGTTGTGCAAGAAACATTAGTAAAACATCACATTTAATACTGAATTTGATCAGCATTTTTCTGAGGGTTACTCTTATTTCACCAACCAAAAGCAAACAACAAAGCTCTGTTTTGTAGCACACGCGTGTGCAGAAACGAGCGGCGCACCTGCGGACACATGTCGTAGAACACACTGAACAGGCCTCTCTTCTCCGGACAGGGCGGGATGTGGCCGAAATAATCCGCTCCCTGGATTTTACTGTCCCAGAAGCGTGTGGGGAACTGGAGCGCCACCTGAAACACAGCGTCGAGCGGTGAGCACTTCAGCGGGCGAGAGACATTAACAGACACCGACACGAACACTCGCTCACCTTCTCAATGACTCCGGCTCCCAGACTGTGGATGGCTTTGAGCTTCCTGTCAGGCAGAGGAGGACTGAAACCAATGATGTTCTTCTGCAGCAGAGCCAGCGGCACCGTCACCAGAACCTGTGACACACAGCAGCCGTCAGAGCGACGTGCTCACGGGAGCGGATGAGGTGTAGAAACAGCATGAGTGTGTGTGTGTGAGAGTGTGTGTGTGTGTGCGACGAACCTTCTGTGCACTCCAGCGAGAGCCGCAGCGGGACGTCACCGTCACTCCCTCTCCAGAATAGTCCACATGCTGCACCTGCAAACACACAGCTGGGTGTGAGCGGATCAAAGCGTAAGGCCAGTGAAAAGCAGCAGGTGTGTGTGAGTGTGAGGTGAAGTACCGCGGTATTGAGCCGGATGTCGAGTTCCTGAGCGAGTTTGTGCAGGACAGATGAGTATCCGTCAGCGAGCAGCGTGTGATCTCCAGAGAACTGAGCGAAACACTCGTTATGATCCCACGAGCAAGCTGACACCTGCACACACACACACACACACACACACACATATGAACATCCCACTCAATACACTCACACACAATACATGAACATCCCACTAAAACACACACACACACACTCACGCACACAAACACAATCATACACACACACACGCACGCACGCTCACACACAATCACACACACACA